AGACAGTTTTTCTCTGCGTAACTCTGGCTGTCCTGGAACTTGCTCTGTAGACCAGGATGGCTTCAACTCACAGAGATCTGCCTGCCTCTGCCTCCCAAGTACTGGGACTAAAGGTGTGCACCACCACTGCCTGGCTAGATATAACATTAAAAAGAAATCAACTGCTAAGCCTTGTATTATTACTCACACCTATAACCTCAGCACTCCAGAAACTGAGGCAGGAGAACTGCCTTGAATTTGAGGCCAGCCTGGACAGCAAAGACCTTGCCTCAAAGCAAACCAACAAACAGACAAATAAACAAGAAAACAGCAACAAATATCAGGTACTACAGGGAGCACATTTCAACATTGAACTTAGAGGAAATTGCTTTTTACTTGAGTTGGATTGTCTTGGCTTTTTTCTAACCCTGAAGAAGGATATGTGAGACTTGACCCTTAAAAAATAGTGTTTAATCTTAGTATGTTAGATTTCTGGAAGCGGATTTTCCATCTCCTTTGTACAGTTCATTAAAAAATGAAATATTAATAATAATTCTACGCTAGTAAAACTGGGGTTTGAACCAGGAACCTTACAGATGGTAGGTAAATTCCCTGCCACTGAGCCATATCCTTAGTCCAGCAGAAGTAATCCCAAAACTACTGGCCTAAATCAAATTCACACAGCTCTCTAGGCACCTGAAAATGTGCTTTGTAGGTCTGTCATTGGCCCCTCCCAGTCATTCTCATGCCATCTGTCCAGTGTTATCATCTGGGCTGTAAGTCTCCCATGTTACAGAAGTGGCTGTCACAATTGATTCCTTCAAAAACAATCATTAACAAGAGCATTTCAGATTTCTCCCCACACAGTTTTAATATGTTCAGTAACTGAAATGAACATTGAATTAGGAACTTACTTAAGAATTTTGAAAGCAATAATATTTATGCTTTAAAAGTGTTACACCTGTGGCTTGTTGGAAGATCCTTTGGCCAGGCTGGGCCTTGAACCCAGGGTCTCCTGAACTCTAGACAAGCGCTTTGCCACCAAGCCACACCCCCAAACCACCCCCCCCTTTGCTTTTAAGGTCCCATTTTTAAAGTCTGGACCTTATTGAAAATTCAAGTCCACATAACGGGTATTTTTGCTTCTGATGTTGGGACAAGTTGGATTTTAGACATAGGTAAGCAGGGATTAGTCTCACCAAAGCCATGTTCCAAACTTAGAGTCAGAGCCCACAGTGTGGAGTTTTGTGATACATATTATTTCTCCATACTTTGCAGAATTATAAATTATAAAATTGACAGTAAGTTACATTCTTTTATGGGCCCCTAGCCTCAGGATTTATCTGTAAGTAGTTCTCCTTTTCCTTCTACCCCTCTTCCTCCTCTCCCACCATAACCACCTGGCTCCAACTAATAATTTTTATGCTCAGAATATGCACACAATAATCAGTGCATTGTCCTGGGAATATGTTGAAAGCATAATTCTGTCTACATTTTGAGAGGGGGATATAAATTTATGGGGAAAATGGGGAGGGGGATGTAACAATATTAGCAAAAAAAAAAAAAACAAAAAAACTTGGCAATCAAAAAACTGGAGAAATACATTATTTTGCTTGCTTGTTTCCCCTTCTCCACATTACAGATGTTTGATGACTTTATTTGGTCAAGAAAAAAAGTAAAAATGTAAAAGAATGTAAAAGGCATTTAGGAAATAGCAGAAAACCTGTTTAATTCCACCTTCAAAATATATGTCATTGGGATTTCTAATGTATAGAAGTAATTGATTTGTACTGTACAATCATGGATGTTCCAGGAACACAAAGGAAGAAGTCCTAAGGGCGCCAGGATTCCCAAATCACAATCAAGCAACAGTTGACATTTTGTCATTTTTCTTGTGTTAACTTTAAGTGAGTCTCCAAGGGCCTGAGTATGCTGTTCTCTGTGTCTGCCATCAAATCCAGCTCAGTTTTGTAAGTCTCACCACAGATATAGAATCTCCACTCTTCTCTAACTGCTTCCCCAAGACAAAAGTTCAAAAAAGTGAAATAACCATGTCAAAGGGGACAGAGTATTCAAGTGACCTTCCTCTTGTAGAACCATCTGACCAAAAGGCAGCTCAAATTGATACGTCCATGAACAATGTAAGTTCCTTTTAATTCTACCAAAGCAGAGAGAGGTAGGGGGTTTAAACATCTTGGAAGAAGATGCTGCCTCTGGCTGCTCCTTCCCACACCCTTCTGTCCCTCATAAGACTCTCTCCAATTTAAAGGCCAGACACTTATTTTTTAATCTGTGACTCACAAAAGGCCCACTAGCCTGCTATTTTACCCTATTGGGATGGACTTATTCATTTATCTATTGCTAAACTTTTTTTTTTTTTTTTGAAATACAGTCTTATTCTTTTGCTCAAGCTAGTCTGGAATATACTCTGTAGCCCAGGTTGGCCTCTAACTCATGACAGTTCTCTTGCCTTAGTTTCCCACAAGCTGGGATGACTGGTGGGAGCCTCCATACATGCTTCTAGGATGAATCTATTTTGTATGCATTTTTTAAACTTTTTTTTCCTCCCTGAGACAGGGTTCCCCTATAACGGCCCTGGCTGTCCCGAAATACACTTTGTAGATCAGGCTGGCCTCAAACTCACAGAGGTCTGCCTGCCTCTGCCTTCCAAGTGCTGGGATTAAAGGCATGAGCACCGTGCCCAGCTTGTTGGCTCTGTGGTGGTTTTTGGTTTGTCTGTTTTGCCTTTTGGTTTCTTAACTTCTTTATCAAGCATAGGTATCATTTCTTTAATTGTAACATAAAGAACAAACACATCTTGTTCCATGGTGCTTAATTCTGTTTAGCCCACTCTGATCCTAAAGAAATTTTGCCTCACCAGTTTAAAAAGATTGATTTTCCCACCATGAAATACACTGTCACTTTTCATTGTTTAAAGTAACATCTCAAAGCTGGGCCAGTGGCATGCAGGCCTGTCATCTCAGTCCAAGTCAGGCGGAGGACTTCCCAGTCTCTTCCACAACCCCAGGGTATCATGCATCAAGAGTTTATTGAGTGCTACTTGACTGTCTACCTATCTGATCATTCAGGAGGTAGAGGCAGAAGGGTTCAAAACCAGCCTCACTTATATAGAGAATTTTGGACCAGCCTTTCACATAGAGAACCCTGCTTCAAAATCACCACCCACTGAAAATTGTGTCTTCTACTATGGAATGCTCCAGCTAGGCCTCTTAATATCCTTTTTATTTTTCCTTTAGGTTTTTTGAGAGGTTTCTCTGTGTAACAAACAGTCATGGCTATCCTGGAATTCACATTTGTAGACCAGACTGGCCTCAAACTCACAGAAATCTGCCAAGTGCTGCGATTAAAGATGTGGGCCACCATCACCTGGGGTCCTTTTTCTTTATTCCGATGAGCGGTGTGAGATACACACAGGATTTGTTTTTCCTGAGATACCAATACATTCCCAACATGGTTAGTGGCTAATGCTCCTTTTCTCCCCTGAGTTTGTGATTCTGTTTTTATCAATGTGGAATTTTACTCATAGGAGATTTCACCCTTGGGCTCTTCTAGTCTATTCCCAAGGCTTATCTCTTCTTCAACCAACACCGTGCTGTGCTCATATCATGAGACTTATGCTTTTTTGTATATGATATGGCAGTTCTTATTTTCAAAAAAACACTCGTTACAGTTAAGGATTTGTTTGCACAGATGAAATTCAGATCTGGAGGCAGCCTCTGAATCCCATGGAGTTTTGTTGTAATTGTTCACGTGTCCAGAACTCTGACCCACTATAATGGTGTATCTCTGGTCTCCTTCGCAGAGAGGCAATTTAACTTGTTAGCACTTGTTGGCTAAGAAACTTACTGTGGCTCCCACAAGGCCTCATTTCCATCAGCACTCTGGCTCAGGCTATGGCTGATCCCATCCATTGCTATTTTAGATGTCTTTGGCTGTCATAGTGGGCATCACACCTGCAATAGTGATACCCTTGTCCCCCGAGGTGCCTAATCTTGCATGATAAGAATTTTCTTGTCTTTCTCTGATTTATTTGCATATGAGAGCCCCTGGTATCTCATATCTCCTTCTTGAGAGTCTGAAATACTCTTTAATGCTGCTCTGCTTTGGAAGGCTATCTCTGATGGAAATGAAGCAAGAACTAACTTCAATTCCTGCTTTTTGGAGAGTGGGTGTCTATGGGATGGGATCGCTTGGACAGAGTGGCTCCTCCTGCTGGCAAGCCCTTTGGAACCACCTGATACTTGACTGTGTATGAAATACTTCAGTTTTGCTTTAAATACTGGCAGCAAGAGCCAGCTTTCGGGGTTGGGGATTTAGCTCAGTGGTAGAGCGCTTGCCTAGCAAGCGCAAGGCCCTGGGTTCGGTCCTCAGCTCCGGAAAAAAAAAAAAAAAAAAAAAGACAAAATAACAAAAAGACCAAAAAAAAACAAGGTAACTGGCACACACAACCTTTTTCATTTTCAAAGCCCCCTCCCCCCCAAGGACATTTTCCTGGCTGGGGGCAGTATTTATTAGCTGTCCTTTAGGATGTCGCAGTATCAAATCGGTTCCAGCTCGCAGGAAAGGCTCCTGTGTGTGCAGATGCAGTGATTGACAGCGGGATGACAGCTGAGGATGCTGAATGCTCCGCCTCCGTCCGTGCTGCCTGCAGCTGGGGCCCTTTCTTCACTTCCTGGCAATGTCCCTGTGCTAGATTTTTGGTAATTTTTCTCATTTCCTTATGACCTACGTTTGTGAATTCGGTCCCATCTGTTTGGGTTTTGAAAATAAAAGCAAAGTTCATCTGGGTCCCAAGCACCGCACAGCGGACAATCCTTGCGCGGCGAGACCCGCCCCACCCACAGAGGAGAGGGAGGTGCCACGGAGGAGGAGCGGGAACTTGTTTGGACCAGCCCCCGTCCACTGCAGCTTCTATCCATGAGCGGTAAGAATTTTTGGGTTTTTTTTTTTTTTTGGCTTCTTTCGCTTGCCGTTGTTACCCGCCGTGCTCCGCGCGGCATTCACGGAAGTGGCTTCCTTCGGCTGACAAGCTAGGCGTTTGTGGCTGCGCCTCGCCGACTGACGACTACTACACAGAATGACAGGAGTGCGAGGGCCCGGGGAGAGCCGGGCCGCCGCCGTGGCCGTGGAACAGGACATGTTCGACGCCGTCGTGATGGCGGATGAAAGGTAGGCAGGGGACTGGTTCCGCCCCGCCCCTGCAGCTGCTCGGCGGAGCCGCGTTGTCCTCGGGGACACCCGCCTTCTCCATCTGCGAGCTGCCACATCTTCTTGTTCTTTAATTGTCGCACATACGGCAGTATTCATGACCTGCTGATGGATGTGTCGGGCAGGCCCCTTTGGATTGGGAAAGTTCCCGGGGGAAACGCCGGGGCGGGGCGGGGCGGGGCGGGGCGGTGGCCCAGGGCATCTTGGCTTTTCCCTGCCGGCTGCTGCTCACCTCTCCGAGAGAGCTGCTCGAGCACTTAGGGAGTGGAATCCTGGCATATGCGGAGGCACAGGCGCTCCCCGGGCCACCCACCTGCCGAGTGGGGAACTGGTCACCCCTCACGGGGGCTTCCAGAGCATTCCTTCCACAGTGCAGCCTGCAAGTTACTGTCAGTTTTCGGGTTGATCCCTGAGAGACAATACCCTTCTATTCAGAGCATCGCAATGGTGGCATACTGTGATGATCTTAGGGATATTTTCTCTCACTCTACAGAGATAGTGGTGAAGAGTCCTGGGTCCTTGGAGTGTTTAGGAACAGATGACTTCATTTACGATGGCATGTAGGCTCAGCTGCGGCTACCCTGTTTTGAAAAGTACATTTCTAGTGTGTTCCAGGCTTACTTGAGTTTGCATCTTTACATTTTCCTTGTGAGTCCTTGTGCTCTTCGGGCTTGGAAGTCACTCATGTAGCCTACCCACAGTTACAGAAGAAGGAACTTGGGTCTCTAGGGGCCGGGCTGTAGCTCAGTTGGCAGAGTATTTTTCATAGCATGCACGAAGCCCATAAACATCGTGGTTTCATATGGAGGTAGCAGCACTCACCTGTAATCTCAGCATTCAAGAAATGGAGGCAGAGTTGCTTGATGGAAGTCAGCCTGGGCTACATAGTGAGGTCCAGTCTCAAAAATAGGGTGGGGGCATAGTAATGGGCCAGGGAGTAGAAGAGCTAGACTTAGAACCTGCATTTTATGACTTGAGTTTTAAGCTTTTCCTCCTATAGTCTGCTGTGTCCCGTAGGATCTGGATAATAGAAGGTAGGAAAAATTTCCAGAGAACAATGTCTTACCTGATGAAGTATAATTCTCTATCACAGATTCCATGGGGAGGGATATCAGGAAGGCTATGAAGAAGGCAGTAGCTTGGGAATCGTTGAAGGAAGGCAGTATGGCACATTACATGGAGCCAAAATTGGATCTGAGGTAAGTGGGAGGAACACTTAGAAGTAATTTGATAGATGATTGTGGTGATCCATCCTGTGATCCCAGCACTCAGAAAGCTGAGGCAGGAGTTCTACGCCAGCCTGGGCTATATAGTGAGATGGATAAAGTATCTTAATGGCAGAGCATTCATTCAGCATGCTTAAGGCAGTGGCTTTGAACCTTTCTAATGCTGAGACCCTTCACTACAGTTCTTCATGTTGTGGTGACCCCCAACCATACAATTGTTTCATTGCTACTTCATAACTGTAATTTTGCTACTCTTATGAATCGTAATATAAATATCCAGGATATTTGACATGTGACCCCCAAAGGGTGGAGACCCACAGGTTGAAAACCAGTGGCCTAGAGGAAAAGAAAAAGGCATGGATCCTTTTCCTTTACAGTTGTTTCCTTTGCTGCTGATGCCAGAGCATCTAACCTCTTCCTACTGCAAGGCCTTTGGTGGGGATTCATAGACCAGGCAGAAAATTCTTACATAATCACCAAAGTATGGGAGATCACAGCTCCGTCTCATGTCTGCAGCCAGCTTAGTCCTCACCCAGAGGGGTGAAATTTCATAATCTCCATAGTTTTTCTTCCCTTATCTTTTTCCTTGCTAAGTCACCTCTTCCAGATCACTGACCCTGACTGGCAGAAGTCATGACAGTGTCAGATACCTGATGCCACAAAGCAGGTCCTACAGACGGATAGACCTAAAACAATCATCTTTGGTTATACCACACAGTGTCTGAGGGTCAGCAGGTAAGGAGCACTGTGTCAGTAGAGCTCCGTCCCATCTGAAGGCTTGACTAAATCAGGGATCTCCCCCCAAGATACCATACCATGTAACTGCTGTCCTCTGCTCAGGTGTCCTTATGACACCCCAGAGCAAGTAGCCAGTGAGAGCAAGGCAGAAGTGACATTGCTTTTTCTACCCAACCTCTAAAACTAGACACTCTTTCTTCCTGTGTCCTCAGAAGATGAGCACTCTCCTTCCCTCTGTTCTGTTGCATGTACATGAACCTGGATGAGGGGCTAGCTCACAGCATGCATATGAGCATCACTGATGTCATCTTGGACCAGTTCCTCAACTGGGGCTGTCACCATTCAGTTTCCATTGCCCAAAACTCACAGGTTCCAGAATAGCTGAAGAACAATGTGGCAGCCCTCTGCCTGGCCCTGAGCTTTGAGATCTTGATAATTGGTGTGGTGTGGCTGAATGCTTCCTGCCTTCACTGTGGGTTGGTTTTCAATTCACAGATTGGGTGCTACCGTGGTTTTGCTCTTGCATGGAAATGTCTCCTACATAGTGGTGCTGGCGAGAAAGACAGGTGAGGCTCCCTTCCTCTCTTCCCTCCTATCTCCTTTCCCTCCCATCAGCCATCAGCATGCTATCAGTTCAAAGGCCAGGAGGAGCTCTGAGTGTTCCTAATGTGTGCATAGTTATCTGTGTCATTAGTGCATACAGAAAATAGTAATGGCCAACTTTGTTGTTATTCAAAGAATAATAAATAAAATGTGTTAGGTACCTCATAGATACTGGATGAGCTCTGGGTGATGCCACACCTCAGGTAATGTTGGATGGATCCTATTTTCCTATCCATTTCTCACTTGGGCTTTTGATAGCAAACTGTAATAGTGTCAATGGAATGAGGTCTCAGAAATGCTGGTTCTGCCAGGTGTGGTGGTGCACACCTTTAATCTCAGCAGAGATAGGCAGATCTCTGTGAGTTCAAGGATAGCCTAGTCTACATAGAGAGTTCAGGACAGCTAGGACCACAAAAAAAAAAAAAAAAAAAAAAAAAAAATGCTGATTTTTTGTTGTTCATGGTGTCTCATAGCCAATCAGAACACAGAATCATCTTTTTTGGAGACAGGGCCTCCACACTGTGGCTCAGACTGGCCTTCAACTCATAGCCATTCTTCTGCCTCAGCTTCTTATATGCTGGGCTCATAGACATGTACCAGTATAGACATCTAAAGTTCATCCTGAAGCATTCCTTTTTGGCACACACAGGCCCTAGTGATTGTTACTGTTCTTTGAGCTGCGTTAAGCTTATTACCTTGCCTTAGTGTGTTCTGCCTGCCTTGGCCCTGTGAGCTGCCCCATCTGCCTTGTTCCAGAGGCTAGAAGGGAGCCCTGAAATGAAAGGCATATTGCTCTTGTGTGCAGATAGATGCATAGGGTTAGGCTGGCATTGTGCAGTCTTCCTGTACCTGCTGGCCTGACCTGGCCCAGGAGGACTGGAGGCAGGTATTAGTGAATTAGGACAAGAGGATGCAGTTCCCTGCCTGTGGGACTCAACTTTTATTTGAACAAAGTGTTTGTGACTAATTGTGGGGTTCTGGGGTTCTCTCTCTGATTGCCCATCACAAGATTTATTGGCTTTTTCTTTCTTTCTTTCTTTCTTCTTCTTCTTTTTTTTTTTTTTTTTTTTTTTCCCTTTTCAAAACAGGGTTTCTCTGTGTAGCTTTGTAGACCAGGCTGGCCTCAAACTCACAGAGATCCACCTGCCTTTGCCTCCCAAGTGCTGGGATTAAAGGTTCGTGCCACCACCACCTGGCAGCCTTTTCTTTTTGGTTTTTCGAGATAAGGTTTCTCTGTGCAAAGCTCTGCCTGTCCTGGGACTCACTTTGTAGACCAGGCTGGCCTCGAACTCACAGAGATCTGCTTGCCTCTGCCTCCCATGTCCTGGGATTAAAGATGTTTGCCACTACTCAGCATTGTTGTTTTTTCTTCTTCTTCTTCTTCTTCTTCTTCTTCTTCTTCTTCTTCTTCTTCTTCTTCTTCTTCTTCTTCTTCTTCTTCTTCTCCTTCTTCTTCTTCTTCTTCTTCTTCTTCTTTTTTTAATTGAGACAAGGCCTATTTATTCTACACTGTCCTGGAACTCATTATTTAGACCAGGCTGGCCTCTAACTCAATCCTCTGCCTTGATTCCAAAGTACTGGGATTAAAGGCTTGGGTCATCATACCTGGCTCTCTATTTGTTTCTTTAGTGTGAGTAGGTAGGAGGCAAAGGGTCTTAACTTCCTGACTTTAGGAGTGACTGGTCAGGCTGATCCAGGAGGAATTTTGTTGGCTGTTCATGCCACCACTGGGTGGCAGTCACAGCTGAGCCTGGCTGCCATCTTTTTGCAGTGGTCTTGCTTGCTCCAGCCTGCTGTTCCCCAGGTAGAGTAAGGGCCTTCTGGTGAGTGACTGCTCCACAGCAGGTGGTGGCCAGCAACTGCCTAGAGCAGAGAGGTGTGCTTAGCCTGCCCCCTGCTCTGAGGATGCAGTGGGATTGGGTCCTGTAGTTGCCCTGGGTGACAGCCTTTCCCCCATGCATCACAGCAGGAAAATGAAGGTGGTGGAGGCTCTGATTGCACTGCTGCAACACTTCCCCTATGATGACCCCACTTACGAGAGGCTCCATGAAGACCTGGACAGAATCCGAGGGAAATTCAGACAGGTTTGTGCTCCATAACTTCTGTCTGGGGTATGCCTGAGTGTGTTATAAAGGCAGGGTGGGCATAGACCCTAGGGTTCAGGTGATGGCTTTGTTGGGTAGTGTGTGCCATGTGTACATCCAGAGGAACTCATTCCGCTTACCCTTGTAGAATGACTGAGACGGGCTGGTGCCAGGATAGGGAAAGTGGGGCAAGCAGAGGTGTGTCCTCAACCTGAGCATCAGTTGAGGAGATGTGAGACACCATGGGTGAGACACCATCTCTTTCTTGGGTGCTTTCAGCTGTGCTCACTGCTCAACGTGCAACCTGATTTCAAGGTGACAGCAGAAGGCTCTGGACTTGCGTTTTGAGGACTCAGAAGAGCAGATGTCTGCACATTAAGTGTCAGAGTGATTAAAAGTGAGCCTGAGTGGCACTCATTGTTCTGTGGGAGGACCAGTGTGGCCTCTTCCCTAAGGCTCTTCCTGGGTGGCTGGCCAAAATTGACTACCCTGCTTTCTGCACAGAGACTGCTTGCTGCTGGCCAGAGTGAGTGTGTTTGTCATTCCAGTGGTCCGAGTAGGTTACCCTGAGGGTAGAACTCAAGGAAGACAAGCTGATGTGAACAGAGTTTAATGGGAATGTGGGCTGAGCCCCTGCTGTGCACTTGGGCTTCCTTTGTTCCACTCCATCCCTCTGGCAGCCCCAGAGGTGGATATCATTCAGCTTTAGAGGTGATGAAATAGACCCACCTAGTCTACGGGGCCTGGCGGCAGAGCTACCTGCTGCCCCAGATTCATCTTCTGTAGTGCCCTCATTGCCTACACCATTGAGACCCTGTCCTCTGTGGCAGAAGACCCACGTTACTGCAGTGTGCACAGGGTTCAGGCTCCATTGGGCTTGGTTTGCCTCTGGATACCCAGCTGAGAAGACAAGGCCAGCCTGATCTCTAGGAAGCTGAGGCATGGCCTTCATGCAGCCCCAGGTGAGAGATGAATTCTACACATTAAGAAGTGGCAATGGGGGAACTACTGGGATCTAAAGCAGACAGATGGTGGTTGCCGCTGTGAACGTGCAGGGGCTCACCTGTGTGACACTTCTTTAACAGCAGCTTGCGTGTCTTGCATGGTATTCACAGGCAGGTATAAGGGGAGCTGGCAAAAGTAGGTGCAGTGCTCCCAAGCATCTCAAGGGGGGATATACATGACAGCATGTGTTGATATGCCCTCTTTTGGGTGGCCCTATTGTACCCTGACTGTCCCTATTTCAGTTCCAGGACATGATGTGAAGGGGTCACTTGGAGTTTTGGGTTCTTTTTTTAATTTTAATTTTCTTTTAGAGACAGAGTCTTACTATAAAGCCCAAGCTGACCTTAAAGGGTGATCTGGAATCTCAGGCCTGTGACCCTAAGACACTGTTTTTAAATACCTTTTCATAGCATCTAGATAGATTAGGGACATCTGTACAGCTGGAGCTCTTCCCTCAGCTGGACCAGAGGGAGGGCTGGTGCTCATGTGTGAGGCTTGGGATGCCATGTATCTGGCTTCCTGAGCCTGGCAGTGGCCTCTCAGGAGTCCTGCACCATTCTCTCAGCTCCTCCCAGGAGCAGGTGCTCTTCAGGATGCTTCTCTGGGTGCTGAGCTCAGAGAGCAATGGCTACTGTTTTGATCATATTTTTCTTTTCTATTTGAAGAAGAGAATAAATGTATTTTAAAGGTATAGTATGTGTGGGATCATTTGTACTGACAGCTGCTGAATTCCTCCGGACCAAAATGCTGAGGTGTCAAGACCTCATGCCTGTCACATTCTGCGTTAGATTTGATACCACAGGTAGTGTTCCTTTCTTGTGTCTGCCCCCTTCCCTCTCATCTCTCTGTCTCTTTCCCCATTCTCCTTACCTTGTACACGTTAGGTATTAGAGTTCCCACTCATTAGCAGAGCCACAGCCACCCACCTGATACCTCCTGTGTTCCCAAGGGCCCCATCCAGTCCCCAGTATGCTTTGGTCACTCCAAAAGGTCTTCTGGATCACAGTATATATAGACAGAGTGTGGAGGACTATTCTGCCATGTGGGCATGCTTCCTCTCACCACTGAGATGGCTGTGTCTGCTGTGAAAGGTAATGTAAGTCATGAGGTGGATGCTGTTATTCTAGATGCCATCCCAAGTAGGTGATACTTGGAACTGCTGTAGACAATCGTAGGGAGCTGTGGTAAAGCTGTACCTTAGTGTGGCAGAGTCAGGTTCCAGTGGAACCTGTGTCCTTAATGTCTCTACTGAGCTGCTAGCCAATCCCCTGCCTTGTCAGACCATATGCTGTGAGCTGTAAGTGCCCTCACTCCTGGGCTATTTTCCGTCACCCAGCCCACGCTGTTCTGGCTGTCTGTCTGGCAATGACCTTCCTATGACTTTAGCTTTGATGTCATCCCTCATGAGTGTCACTGTGTCACATGCTAGAGACTGTAGGTCTGAGGTAAAGGTATCTGGGCTGGCTCCTCCCAAGGCTCTGTTGAATTTGCTGACTGCATTTCCTGCAGAGCTGCTGTGTCCTGACTGAACATGGATGATATTAGAGATCTTATTCTCCCTCAGCCGGCAGGGCAATAGTGACACATGCCTTTAATCCCAGCACTCAGGAGATGGAGACAGGAGGATCTCTTGTGATTTCAAGACCAGCCTGGTCTACAGAGCAAGTTCCAGGACAGGCTCCAAAGCTCAGAGAAACCCTATCTTGAAAAACCAAAAGGGGGGGGGTTTGCAATCATTCTCCCTTAGTCACCTACAGATTTATCTCCAGTCACAGGGCAGGGCTTGTAATAGTCAACTTGACAGGATCTGGATTCACCAGGGAGATATACCTCTGTACATGGCTGTGAGGGTGTTTCCAGGGAGGCTTAGCTGAGGAGCAAAGAGCCACCTTGAGTGTGCTCTGTCCCATGAACTGGAGTTCTGGACTAAAGATAAAGAAGAAAGCAAGCTGGGTACCAACATCCATATGCCTCTGCTTCCTGACCATCTGCCTCAGGCTCCTGTTGCCATGCGCCCCACCTCCCCCAATGATAACTGTTACCTTGTAAACTATGGACAGAATAAAATAAACCCCTTTCATCCCTTGCTTTCATAACTTGCTTCTTTTGGGTATTTTGTCATAGCAACCATGAGAAAAGTAACTAAACATAGGGCCTCAGGCCTGCAGGGACACTGTGACCCCCTAACAGGCAGCCTGTCTGTGACTATGGGACCTATTTCAGTCTGAAGCTAAATACAGAATGAAGTTCTTCCATGCAAAGCTTTTCAGATATTTTTAAAAATATGTACTATGAAGATTATTGCTGAACAGTGGTGGCACACCCCCTTTAAGCCCCAGCACTTGGGAGGCAGAGGCAGGCTGGTCTTGGAGTTAGAAGCCAGCCTGGTCTGCAGAGTGAGTTAGTTCTAGGGCCAGGTTACAAAGAGAAGCCCTGTTTTGAAAATCCAATATATATAAGTAAATCAGCACAAAGGAGATTTATTTGCCCCGAAGGGACAAAGGACAGGGAATAAGAGACAAAGACAGGAGATAGAAGATGAGGGAAAGGAACAAAGGAGATGGGGAGGGGTATTTGCCCAGGAGGGACAAAAGACTGTCTCTCTATAGAAAGCAGACAGATGTGACCCAAAGGCAAATGGCAATTTATAAAGATAAAAGGGGGAAACCCTGTGTTAGGATGAGGTGTTTAGCTTGACAGTAGTGACACATGCCTTTAATCTCAGCACTAGGGAGGCGGAGGCAGGTGGATTTCTGTGAGTTCAAGACCAGCCTGGTCTACAGAGCTAGTTCCTGGACAGCTCAGGCTACATAGAGATACCCTGCCTTGAAAAACAAACCAAAAAACAAAAAGAATGAAGTGTTTGATTTTGATTGGGTATGTTAATTAGCATAATCAAAAAGGGCTTTTGATTGCTGGATTTCAATACTTTGATTGCTAGACCTTAGTAGTTAGCATAGGAGGTGTGTGTGGCCAATTAGGGAAAAGACATTGGTGGCTAGCTTTAGGAATGTAATCTAATGGGTTTTTTTGTTTGGTTTGGTTTGGTTTTTTAGGAAGAGGGAATAGCAGAAGAGCAAGGCTTGCTGGAGCCATATTTGTCATGCAGGCCTGCTAGAGTCCCTTCAGTGTGTATGCCATATGGCAGAGGTCAGAAGAGGGCATCAGATCCCGTAGGACAGGAGTTACATAAGGTTGTGAGCCACCATGTGGTGCTCTGGACCAAAGCTGGGTCCTCTATTAAAAGCAGCAACCACTGTAAACCACTGAGGCATCTCACCAGCCCGGCTGTTAGTGAACTTTGATTTTGTAGGATTTGATGGGACACAGCGAGAAAAAGCACCCTAAAAACTTGGGGCTTGCTCTCAGCCCCACAGTGGCTAATGGTGGAGCATCCCACATTTAAAGCAGTCGTTCTCAACCTTCCTAATGCTGCCACCCTTTAATGGCTTCATGTTGTGATGACCCAATCATAAAATTAACTTTTGTTGCTACCTCATATCTGTAATCTTGTTACTGTTATGAATTGTAATGTAAATATCCCTGTTTTCCAATGGACTTAGGTGACATCAGAAAAGAACTACTTACTGCCCTAAAGTAAGGCCATATAGCTCATTTCCTGTTTATTTTGTACTCACCCCAAACCTCGTAGTAAGATGAGGAGGAAGAAAAGGGGTGAGAAGTTATGTTTGCCCAGTCCTGACTTTTCTACATCACTAAGTCTATATGTGCAATAATTCATGTGGCTCCATGGGCTAGCGGGGTGGCTGTAGATGGCTGCAGTAAGCTGCCAACTCCAGGTTGGACAAAACACAGTGAGGTGAGAGTAGTTTGTGCCAACTGCTCCAGCCTGGTTACTTGCTCATCTGAGTCTGTGGCAGGTCTTTTATCTAGCAGATCTAGGAAAACACAGGTTTATAAAGAAGGAACCTGTATCAGGAGGGACAGTAACTGAAGGAGCTATCAGATTGTGAGGCCCTTCCTTCCTTCTTTATTCCTTTCCTTCCTTTCTTCCTTCCTTTCTTCCTTCCTTTCTCCCTCCGTCCCTTCTTCCCTACCTCCCTCCCTCCCTTTCTTTTTTCTTTTCTTTTCTTTCTTTTTTTTTTTTTTTTTTTTTTTTTTTTAGACAGGATTTCTCTGTGTAGCCCTGGTTGTCCTGGAACTTGATCTGTGAACAGGCTGGCCTCAGACTTGATCCACCTGCCTCTGCCTCCTGAGTGCTGGGATTAAAGGCATGTGCCACAACTGCCCAGCCTGTGGGCTTTTTCATGATAGATGTCATCACCTTCTGAGAGCCCAGAGGTAGGGGACACTCAGTTATGCATGCCAGGGAGACTTCCTGGAAGGGAGGCTCCCATGTCAACTTTGGGATTCAATCTGGAGATGACAGAAGAATGCTGACCAGGGAGATCACCCCACTGTCCATAGTTGTTCCCACTATCATGACAGAGCCAGAAATGGGTGGGTATCTCAGGAAACTGAAGTCACAGGGCTAATTGTCAGAGAAAATGAGGTGTCATGGGACTCCAGAGTCCTGGTTCATCAGGAGCCTGCTCCCAAAGGTCAGTGGCCTGTGTCTTTATGTTGTAGTCCACTTTACCATTTTGCAATGGCATGGAGATATGGAGTGGGTAGCAGTGGCAACTAGTCAGAGATAACCAGGTCTATGGCCATGGTAAGGGCAATGATACCCCTTAGGAGAAGGCAGAGTGGGCCCTGGGATTCCAGTCACCACATCTCCTTGCTGTCCCCAGCAGCAAAGATCTTACAGGATGCTAGAGTACAGAAAATAGGGAGGTGGAGCTCTATTATGCAGCTCCGATGAGATCCTCATCTGTGATGGGGTGGGACTTTGCAGTGATGCAGCTCTTTGGGGTCTCCCATGCTCCTGGAACTCACCACCTATAAACTCATTGGTTCACCAAGTTGGGCTTTGGCAGATTTGTACTTTGGTCTGTCATTGGGGCTCCAACCTGGGATAAATAGAGATTTGTTCAGTTCTCCCAAAAGGTAAGCCAGCTAGGACCTCAAGAGTTAGGTTTCCAAGAAGGAAAATCACTCTTTGCCTTTCTATGATCAGTTTCCCAGGGCTGCTTTCCGAAAGGCCCTGTCTACCCCTGTGCAGGGCTGGAGTGCATGTCCCCATGCTCCATGAATGGGGTCTTTATAGGCCCTATTGGAGTATATGAGTCAGTGAATCAAAGGGTCTGAAGACAGGACTAAAGACTTGGAAGTGCTGCTCCAGCTCTCCTAGCAGGGGCCTTATTGTTGCCAGCTGTGTACCTCTGAAAGCAGAGCTCCTGAACCTGCCCTTGAGCTCAGGGCCCTGCTGCTGGTCCACAGCATCTGCTTTGGAGTAGGGTCTTAGCCATCCTCTTCAGCTAGAGTTTGTATTTGAATAAGGAAGGCCTGCTCAAGCATGGCTGGGCCTTTCACATTTGGTGTGTTAGTTAGGGTTCCTATTACTGTGAAGAGGCACCATGACCACAGCTGGGGTGGCTTGCTTATGGTTTCAGATGTTCAGTCCATTATTATCTCGGTGGGGAGCATAGTGCTGGAAAAGTAGCTGAAGTCTTATATCTTGCATACAACAGGAAGTTGGCTGAGACACTCGGCAGTATGCTGAGCATAGGAAACCTCATTTCCTCCAACAGGACCACACCAGCTCCAACAAAGCCACACCTAATAATG